TAACCAAAATCTAGGACCAATCCGAATAATATATATATATATATATATATATATATATATATATATATATATATATATATATATATAATGTCGAGATCATTATCTATGCGTTGGTTCCAATTTCAAAGATGAATATACGTCACTGAATCATTTGTTTACATATTTTTATATTTCTAAAGGCATATCAATATAGCAAAATATAGTGTTATAACAAACAGATTAAATTGCAGTAATCATCTATAAATGGTTTGTTTGTTTGAATGTTACAATTCATTTTGGGGGAAAGCAATGAGTTCGTTATATTAACAATTTCTCGTCAGACGCGTCGTTGCTGTCCTCCCGTGCACAGGTCGACTGAACGCTGGTCATGTTTTTACCCTGATACTTGATACGGGTATTAGTAATTGTTAAATCCCTTTGTTGATTTATGATAGTTGAGATGAGTCCTTACCTTCCTTGTGTAGAGAGAGAGACGGAAATGATTTAGAGAAAATGCGGTGAGAAAGAATAACATGCCATAAAGCTTTGTTGCTAGGGAACAGTATTTGTTATTTAATCAGATATTTTAATGCCCCGAGGAGGATAACAGCATCGGAATTAGTCGCAGTCGAGTTCCGATGGTATCAATGAATAGACTAAGAAGGGAATTATTTATTACAGGGAAGTGTAAGAGAGGAAAATTGTAAGAGTAAAAGAAGGGGAATGATTGGCTTATTTTCTAGTAAAATGGAAAGAACATGGATAGACTGGGTGTCTATCCGTAAAATTATTTTTGATATATAATTTGTAGGAAAAGGGAGGGTATAGAGTTGAGCTAGTTAAATTAGTGGTAATTTTCTATATTATGTCCGCATAATCGATATCGACGATTTTGGTATCGTTGGATTCCTCTTACTCTCCTCATTGCAAATATATAGTTTTGATTGAGCGGAAACCCCCTGTTAGCGACAAACTTGGCCCCGATAGCAGGGGAGGGCATGAAAGGTTCCAGGGAAAATGCGGGGTTAAATAGAACTAATAATATAACGCAGTGAAAATAACCATGGTTATTCACATAACCTTCCATTGCAGGGGGCTGCACCCCCTGTGACCCCCCCTGGGGGGCTGCCGCCCCCCAACCCCCACCAAGAAAACAAAACCACCACGTAATTACGGCAAGCTAGAGCGTTACACAATCATCGCCAATGTCAGAGCAGCGGGTGTAATATTACAATGACCTCGTAAGATTCCCACTGAATCAGTATATTAACCTTGGCATAGTCAGCATTGTATATAGAGACGACTGTAGTATAATCAGGATGAACAGGGTGGCCTGCCCACGTCGGCGGGTTTTGCGCCTTTTTCGATGTTACACCGATAGCCTCAAGGTCGTTTCCCTTCCTCTGGAATAATGACATCCGTATTCCTAACCGAAATAACCGTCGCGTTCAGAAGTCAGTCATAGCCGCCGCGATGGCCGAGTGTGGAGGGTGCTCGTATTCGGAGACGGATTTTCTGTGCGAAATTGCAACTAGCCAGGAAAAAATGCTAGAGATGTGCTTCCGCCACGGCCTCCTCCATTGGGAGAAAGCCTGCGGCAGGTGCGGGCAGCCAGGACGCATCCTGCCTCCTTCACATTCCGCGGCAAAGAAGCGCCCTCCCTACTAATTAGCAGCATTAATCAATCAGGTTAGTACCTTAAAAATCCTAGGTTATTGTAGGTTATCGGCTCTGCGCTCTATCCTGCCGTGAATACGTGGTGGAGGTTTTGTTTCCCTTGCAATGGAAAATCATGTGAATAACCATGATTATTTTCACAGTGAGGTTATATTATTAGGGTAATTTTATATATTACGTCCGCCGCTCCGACATCGTCGCCCCCGTTATTGGGGCCAAGTTTCCGCACAATAAAACCTACATATTTGTACTGCATAGAGTGAGAGGAATCCAACAATACCAAAATCGTCGATATCGGTTATGCGGACGTAATATGTCAGTACTGTAGAGCATTCGTTTGTCAGATTTTCAAGCCGATCGACTATGTGTGTGTGTATTTTTACACATACACACATGTGTGTATTTATCTATCTAAATACCTGTATAACATATGTATATATGTATATATCATATATATAATATATATATATATATATATATATATATATATATATATATAAAAACGTGTGTGTGTGTGTGTGTGTGTGTGTGTGTGTGTGTGTGTGTGTGTGTGTGTAAGGCACGAATTTCTCATAATCAATTTAATTCTCAATTTCTAGTTATATTTATTCTAATCATTTCTTGTAAAGATGTTATATTAGTGAGTTTTTCATATGCCAATTCATTTAAATATAGGCCTATTCTAACTGAATTTAGCGCACCGTTAAAACTTTGATGCTGAGTGAGTTAAGTGTTGTAATGTTCGTGCTAAAGACAAGAAACGGTAACTGAAATAAGTGAGTAATTCGTGCTACTACTTCCTGTGTGCTCCTCGGATGCAAGATTGTTTAAGAAGGCGGTAATTTTCTAGCTTGCCGTAATTACGTGGTGGAGGTTTTGCTTTCTCGGTGGGGGTTGGGGGGCGGCAGCCCCCCCCCGGGAGGGTCACAGGGGGTGCAGCCCCCTGCAATGGAAGGTTATGTGAATAACCATGGTTATTTTCACTGTGCGTTATATTATTAGTGCTATTTAACCCCGCATTTTCCCTGGAACCTTTCATGCCCTCCCCTGCTATCGGGGCCAAGTTTGTCGCTAACAGGGGGTTTCCGCGCAATAAAAACTATATATTTGCAATGAGGAGAGTAAGAGGAACCCAACGATACCAAAATCGTCGATATCGATTATGCGGACATAATATAGAAAATTACCCACGATTTTGTTGGCGTCGTCGTCACAGGCCAATACCCTTGTGTCCTTCCCTTGGCCAGAACATGCTCACGAGTGGATCTTCGCTCCTCCACGCGGCGACGGAGGGCAGACTCTCCTTCGGCGAGGTGACCATCGTGGTTCCTGAAGGATGGACTTGCCATTGGGTCGCAGGAACCACAGACGTGGCGTGGGACCGAGCCAACCTGCGGGTGGGGCCTTTGCACTCGGTCTTCGGTCAGAATCCGTGGACGCAACAACCTCGAGGCTGCGGAGAACTCGGGGATTTCATGTACTTCCCCGAGTCGTTCCTTCTCGAAAATTCTACGCTGGGATCTCGAGGTAAGTGTCACAGGGAGAGAGAAAATATATATGAAAATGAATAAGGTGCATAGAGAAAATGTGGTCAATATATTAATTGTACAAAGACAAAATAGTTAAGATAGAAAGGTGGTAAAAATAGATTGTAAGGAAGAAATACATTAAAGGGAAATGTTCTGAAAAACTAAATCATGTGAGAGAATATAATTATACATTTAAATGTAGTAAAATATATTCATATATATGAACAGGTATCTGGAGATGAGAAAATACAGGAAATGCAGATAGCTGTGATAGCTCAGATAAGGACAACGATTTCCATTCTTTAGTCCACTAATCCCTTAAAAAAGTTTCTTTTGAGATATCTTAAGAGGCAAATGGGAAATGGTTCGGCACTTTCACCTTAGACAAAGGAATAAATAGTCCAACCCTTTAACCTTAAGAGACAAAGGGGTAAATTCATAAACACTTTTAGGGATGAAGTAGTATATAGTTCATCACTTTCAATTCCTCAAGACATGAATAATAACAGTTGCTTAAGGTGAGAGGGTTGAACCATTTACACTACGTGTCTGAAGTTGCAAATATTTAAGGATTTATTATCTCGTCCTGTAAGCTAAATGTGTAGACCTATTTACGTACATAAATATACAGTAAAATACACGTCTACATAATCCATCTCACAAGGACCGCAACCCTGAGCCACTCAACCAGACCTACGTACCTGTATAGACCTCTCCGTGCCCTTACCCCCTTCCCTCCCGAACAGGCAGCGTGTTCGTGCACGAGTGGGCCAAGTACCGGTGGGGCGTGTTCGAGGAGTACGGGCACAGGGCCGACCCGATCTTCCCTTCCGCCACCAGGTCCTACGACGGCAACGAGACCCTCAGGCACACCTACTGCACTGACGGCGAAGTGGCGGGGAATTTTTTGTGAGACTTTACGAACGGTTTTGTATCCCATTATAAGATCACGTCGTTGAATGATGAAAGAGAGAGAGAGAGAGAGAGAGAGAGAGAGAGAGAGAGAGTATAAGAGGTGCTCCCTCCAAGGTTACTCTCGGAGGGAGTGAGCGAGTGAGTGAGTTAGAACTGGGTCAACCTATGCTGACCTCTTATAGGCCTGATGGGTGCCCGAGGCAGGCTTGGGTTTTATCTAGGTGTGGGCAGACAGCGAGTGTGGGTACACACGAGGGCTATCCCCTCGTGGTGTGAACACGGCCACATGGTCAGCTAGATTGCATAACTCTGCAGTATGCTAGAGAGAGAGAGATTAAACTACGGATGTTATGTGAGATGTTCCCACTGTGAGCCGTGTGAGGAATCCGACATGAAAATCTGCTTGCTTCGTGCCCAATGCAGAGGAGACAACGGGAGTCACCTCTTCTCTCCTTGCCACACCTTTCCTTAGTTCCGTAAGTGTCTGTGGCTGTCTGTTTGTTCATTTCGCCGAGATCTTGTGTTCAGCAAGTAAAGGCACACTGAATGCCACAGTCAAATTTGTTTTAATTTTCTGCGGATGTGAAATCTCTAGACAGAAACAAATATGTACATCCTCATTGGGGACTGCTATGTAAAGATTTTAGTAATTTTTATTTCATATTTATGTCGTCCGCCATCTTTTGTTTACAAACAGCCATCTCGTTTTTTCTGATAGTTTGCTCGACCGTCCTGGTCTATGCAATCGTGTCATAGACGAACATGTACTGTATCAGTTGAACAAGCAGTTCCGAACGCAACATTATAAAAAAAAGCGCTGAAGTCTATGCAATCGTGTCATAGACGAACATGTACTGTATCACTTGAATGTGACCCACTAACCATCTCATGGTAATATTATTGCATAATGAGGAAGCGCGTAAATGCCTTTAATTCTGCAGTTACTTTTGTAATACATATATTTCCCTTTGTAACCTTTAGTGTACCATTTGAAAACTATGAAATATAAGGTGAGGCTATAATTATAAACGAACAAATATAAGAGGAAGGATATATGAATATTTATATCAGATTCAGTTCACTACTCATTTTTTACGACTAAATTAAGCTTCTAAGATTACAACTCGCTAAGAAAACTTTTTTCTCAATATTTGTGCCTTTAGATTGTGCACATGTCACATTTTACATTAGTAAAATATTGCAAATGTTACAATACGTTTGAATCTTGTTTATTTCACCCCTGTTAAGAATATAGGCCTAAACTCGTGTGACTGCTTTTACTGAAAGAAAATTGAAGCAGTAGCCTTTAAGGCAAAAAGAAGGTATCTTTCATCATCATCATCATCAAGGGGGCTGACGCCGACGGGGCGCATAGCCGCATCCACCCTTCGCTTCCACCTACGAGGATCCCTCATGGCTAGACGCCAGGCAGGGACTCGGCCCATCTCTATTTCTTCACAGCAGGTTTGGTCGATCTGCCCAAGCCACGACTTCCTCGGTCATCCCACAGGCCTCCTCCACCCAGGGTTGTCTCGAATAGAGACGACCTGATGGCAGGATCATCCTGAGGAAAGCGAGCCAGGTGGCCGTATAGCCTGAGTTGGCGATTACGGATTGTGCAGATAACAGGTCCTGTGCCAGTCTCACGGTACAACCGTTGGTTGGACACATGGTCCCGCCAACAGTACCCCATGATCTGGGGCAAGGACCTATTACAAAAGGCTTCAAGACGAGCCTCCAAGGCACAGGACAATGTCCAGGTTTCGCTACTGTATAGCAAAACTGGTATTAGCAGGGCCTTGAAAACCCGTAGCTTGGTCCTTCTGCACAGGTACCGACATCTCCAAATACTCTTGTTGAGAGAGTTCATGACCCCTGCTGCCAGGCCAATCCGTCTGCTGACTTCATGGTCTGACAGCCCAGAGTTATGAACTACACTACCAAGGTATGTAAAGCTCTCTGTGACTTCAATGTCCTCGCCGCAAGCATGTACCGACTGAACAGGTTCTAACAAGTCCCCAAATTCCTGGACCTTAGTCTTGGTCCAGGAGACCTCTAGACCCAAGGGCTTCGCTTCATTGCTAAATGCATCGAGAGCCGCCACTAGGGTTTCCAAAGACTCAGATAGAATGGCAACGTCATCAGCAAAGTCAAGGTCTGTAACCTTGATATTGCCAGTGTTGCTCCACAATGACTTGAACAGTAGCTCTCTGCCCAGTATCCAGTCCATGCAAGTGTTGAAAAGAGTTGGTGCAAGGACACAGCCTTGCCTCACTCCTGAACTAACAGGAAAGAAGTTCGACAGGCCCCCACCACACTTTACAGCACTTTCAGTACCAGTATACAGGCTTGCTATTAGTCCAATAATCCTTGTTGGAATTCCTCTCAGCCTCAGGATCTCCCAAAGTGACTCCCGATGCACCGTGTCGAACGCCTTCTTGAGGTCGATGTAGGCTGCAAGCAACCCATGCCCGAACTCACGGCGGCGCTCTGCAATGACTCGAAGCCGAGGATACGGTCTATTGTGGACTTACCAGGAGTGAATCCGGATTGCTCCAGTCTGGTGCCTCAGTAGATGGTCTCTGATACGTCTCAGAAGGATGTGTGAGAACCTTGCCTGGTATACTGAGCAGTGTGATGCCTCGGTGATTGCTGCAGTCCCAACGGTCCCCTTCCCCTTCCAGAGAGGGATGACCACACCCCTCAACAGGTCAGGAGGAACGGAACCGGACCGCCAGATGGCAGCCAGGACAGCATGTAACCCCCGTGCCATAGGTTCACCACCAGCCTTTAACAGTTCAGCTGGTATGCCGCAGATACCACTGCTTTACCACTCTTCAGCTTGGAAATCGCCCCCCTAACTTCAGTTAGGGAGGGAGGGTCCTTACTGATAGGTGGATCCGGCAGCGGATCTCGACACTACCCGCATCCAAGATAACTGTTGGTGGGTCAACCTGGTACAGCTGCTCAAAATACTCAGCCCAACGTTCCCGCCGCAACAGGATCTGAAACGATCTGACCACTTACTGAGCGAACTGCTGTCACCTGTGAAGAGGGCTTGGAGTTCAGCTTTCTCAGGGCTTGGTATGCAGGACGAAGGTCATTTACTAAGAAATGGCTTCTACCTCCTCTGCAAGACTCCTAATAAACTGTTCCTTGTCCCTTCTTAACAGGGACCGAGTTCTGCGCACATGAGAACGGTGCAATTCCCGATCCCCTGTCAGACGAGCCGCACGACATGCATCTGTGGCTTCCAGTGTCTCCTGCGAGATGGAATTCTGTACTGCTCTCGGGCGTACACCAATCGTATCTTGAGCTGCATCAAGCGTTTCACGCTTAAAGGTATCCCACAGAAGAACAGGGTCTGTCAGACTGCCAAGCATTGCAAAACGATCAGAGA